CCTAACGATATTCCAGGATTATTTAAACTAAATAAAAAATGTTTAACAAATGCAAAGAAAATATGAAATAACTTTGTGTTGGCGTTTTAGCTGTTCTGTGTCGATTTAGTTAGTTTTATCATTTTAAACAAATTCTTCCTGCCCTTATATTTCATTTCCAATCCCTTAATGAGAGTAGAGCGCATCTATTTACTGTGTGTCACTGCCCTCTCATGGTTTAACATTAGAGGTACAGTATTGGAGCAGGACTGCACACCGTACGCTAGATGGCGCCATAACTCTGTCTCATTAGCCGTGTGAGTCTGTGTATCTGCCCAGTTGCAGCCTAATACGAGTGAAAGCCAGCCCGCTTACAGCAGCCCCTTGCAGTTAACACGAGCCAAAGTTATCCCGGAATAAGGACAGCACGCATGTGCCGTCAACCCGGATGCAGATATTGTGTGCGTCTGTTTCCCCCAATCCTGTGAAGTTACGAGCAGATTATTACAGAATTAGTAAAAAAAACCAGCACATTCTAACAAACGCTCAGCAGAAATAGGGTCAATGTGCCGTGATGCAACACCAGAATGACAACACCACATCAATAGTGTTTTGAAGAGCTGCACTTTTGTTCTAAGGTGAGAGGGTGGTTAATAACTTTGAACAGAGATGAGATATAATCAACGCTGTTAAAGTTAAACCAGGCGCGTCTCCTCTGTTGCAGAATACAACTTAGATGCATTATGGACTTCCGCACCAGGAGGTATGAAAGAGGTAGCAACTGGACCGACCCGGAGATCGTGGAGCTGCTGCAGCTCTGGTCTGACGAGTCGGTGCAGATCGAGCTGGAGAGCTCTCTGCGCAACCAGCGCGTGTTTGACCGCATCGCGCACATTCTGCGGGAAAAGGGCATCTACCGCTCAGGCGACCAATGTAGGGAAAAGATCAAGAAGATGAAGCTGGAGTATAGGCGAATTAAAGACAACCACAAGATGAGGACTTGGAAGTTTTATGACGTGATGGACAGAGTGTTGGCGAATCGCCCGGCTGTCAGCTACTCCTCTTTGGGAGGAGCTGTTGTTGCTCAGCAGGTGTTCCAGGGCTCAGGTGGCTCTGAGGCATACCTGCAGGGGGTCCCTGTCGGTTCGTTTGGCCCCTCATCCTCAGGTGGGTTTCTGTTCGGCCAGCCACCTAAAGCTGAAGATTCACTGGATATAAAATGTGAAGATGCTGAGGAGAGCATGCTGAACTCTGGGGTTGCACCACCAGAGATGTACTATGTCTGCGGGGATGATCGGGAAACAGATGGACAGTCTCTACTGGAAGCAGAGGACACACTGGGTCAAGCTGAAGCCTCGACTAATACAAGAGTCTCCCCCTCAGGCAAATACAATCTCCAGTTTAAAAAAATAAGCATGCGACATATGGTTATACATTTCTTGGCTCTCTTATTAAAGCTTTTGAATAAATCCTCTTATTTGTGCAGTAGCATAATCTCACAGCAAGAACCAGGAGAAATCTAACCTTTGATAATATTACAGTATGGTTAAATGAAATTCTTCCTTAATCACAAGGTAGTTAATCAAGGAATTAACTTATTCCAAGCATCATGGCCACTTGAGAGAATTATGTCTAACTTCTTTTTGCAGGATTGTTTTCATTGTGTTTTAAGCATGAATTCTCTGTAAAGCACAACCTCTCAATTTTAACACACAGACTCAGAAAAGGAAACTCAAATCTTTTTTTTAAATTATATGGATCATTGTCCTCCATATGCATTTGAATTTAAGGTCACCAAGGTGAATATTTATCTTCAGGGTTTTAGGTAGAAAGCAGATATCACAACTTACAGTAATTCATCCAGGTCATAAAGCAGAACAGCCCCAGATAATTACGCCACCGTCGCCATGTTTGACTGCTGGTATGATGTTATTTTTTTCTTAAATGTTATTTTTTTTCGCAGAACAACCACCTTTGAAAAAGTTTCAATTTTGTCTGCTCAGCGAATATAATATTTTTAAATTAAGTCTTCGTCAGCTGGCGAATTTACATTCCATGTTTTTACCAACAACAGTCTTTCACATTGAAACTCTCCCCTAGACGCCACATTAGCGCAGTTTTCTTGCCCTAATGTCATGATGGTTGAATCATAATCACTGACCTTAACTGAGGGAAAACCGGCCTGTCAAGGTTTAGATGTTGATCTATGTTCATCTGCTGAGATGCTTTAGTTCATTCGGAGCTCTCTGATCAACTTAGAAAAACTTTTAAAGAGTGAAAGATGGTTCATTAGCATTTAGCTTAATTAGACTTCTATCTAAGGCTGAAACAATCAGATTAATTGTGATTAATTAATTATTGAAATAATCATCAACTAATTTAGTAATTGATTAATCGTTCACTGGAATATAGAGACTTTAATGCATGTCTCTAGCTGACAGAGCAACCACCCTTCAGCAATTATACCAAAATTGTAAAGAAAATAATGTAAACGTTTTGCATTAAAATAGAAAAATTTTCTCGTCTGTCAATATGCTCTATCCAAAACTCCTCAATTGGAAAAAAAATTAGTTTCACCTGGTCTAGTTTCATAAAAAATCTTCTTAAAGGACGCGTTGGCTCTCTGATTATTAATCAAAACAATAATTGACAGATTAATCAGTTTGCAAATTAATCGTTAGTTGCAGCCCTAATTCTGTCGATATATATTTTCTCTTAAAAACTAAAAAATAAAACAGTGTGAGATTCTTCTACTGCAATACACACACATTATATATACAAATGTATTTCTAACATATTTTTCTTTTGTACTTTGTTTCAGAGAGTAATATATATTTATATTTTTAGGTTTCAGTGAGAGGACCGCTGCTGCTTCTGCAACATCTGCCACTCAGATTGGTCCTGTGATGCAAGAAACATCTGAGCAGCTCCACAGGGAGGTTCCTCATGGGTCAGGTTGTGTGAAACAGAGGAAGCGTAGGCGGGGTGGCAGAGCTTCATGTGGCAAATCAGGTGGTCGGGAGAGCCTGGACAAGGCTCTGGTCAGTTTCCTGAACTGGCAGAAGTCTGCCGAGGAGCGCCTCCTCTCCCTGGAGGAGGCTCGACTGGAGAGAGAATTCCAGGCAGAGGAGCGAAGGGAGCAGAGGGAGGAGAGAAGGGCAGAAATGGAGAGGCAGCATGAGCTCCACCTGCTCAGCATGCTCACGGGGGCGCTGTTCACCACCAGACAAGGTTCCTCAGCTACCGTGACATCCAATCCGCCTGTCTCACCTCTGGCTCATCTGGCTACTCCTCCCGTGGCCTCAGTCGGCCCCACTGTCTCGTCATCTTTAGCTCAGCCTCCCCCAGAGGCGCCCGCAGCACAGCCTGTCTACACTCAGGAGACAAAAAAGTCCCAGCCCACATCTGTCAAGACCTGCCAAGTGTCACAGGAGGTTTTAGGAACACTGAGAGGTTCAGAGGCTCCTGGCCACAGCATTTATCTGTCCAGTCGCGGTAACAGCATTAGACAGCATCAAGGCATTCTCCAAGAGGGCTTTATCCAGTATGCAATGGACAAATATCACCAAACAGACAATCCTGATGTAAGTTGGCATCATAATGTAACAGGATCCATAAATCAAGATTATAACATTGTTTCCTGTTTCCAGGGTATAGTCAACTTGGGAACCAGTGAGAACAAACTGTGCTATGATCTCCTTTATAAAAGAGTAAGATACATGATACAGTCACACACATAATGACATGATGCAGGAATCCTACAAATAATAATAAAAAATGTTTAGGGCATTTTGTGTCAAGCTAATTTACAAATAGTTTCCATCTTATTTTTTTATTGAGAGACAATTAAATGGACACACGGTTCTAAAAAATGATGCTACATGAAATTAATTCACATTTAAGCCAAGAAGAATATTGAGGAGCTTCTTACAGAGATGTTAGAGGAAGCACAAAATGAGCTTTCCCCAGCTTATTAAGTGAATTTTTCCCCCTTATGAGAACCAGCAACGCTTCTAAATAATAGAACAATATAGTGATTTAAAGGTATAGGGGAGAATGTTTCTTTTTCCGGGTGCATCATCAAAATAAGTGGTCCTCCTAATTGTCAATCATTCTGGCGATATGTTTACGTAAGGCTGTCCCATGTGTTCTTACCGGTGGTGAGTCAGACAGTGAAAAAATAGCAAATCTTCTTTTGGAAAATAAGCTTGTATGACAAAAACATTTAAACAGAGCGTGCACAAGGAGAAATGTGCTTTGCATGCTTGTGCACGCGTTAAATAGGCGTTCCCACTTGGGAGTGGGGACAGGGTTGTGCATGCGCATTTTTTTTTAAGTGGAGAGAGTAGGTCTTTTCAAAAATTTGGGAAAATCCTCCACTATACCTTTAAGACAAGTATCTGCTTGTCTAACATAGTCAGTAAATGTTCCACCGTAAATACTGTAATATGATTGTCTAGACCGTTTTTCAGTCGTTCCCGCTGCCTGTACAAATGCTCCAATTTCTTTTCTGCAACAGTTAACTAAGCCTGACATGTTGCACGTGGAGCCCTCCCTGTTGCAGTATTCCAGCTGGATTGGGCACACTTTGTGAGAACCTTCAGATCCTTTCATGTTGAAATGAACATCTCAGGTGGTTATCTTTTTAAATAACAATTTTTGTCTCCCTTCAGTCTTAGAGAAGAAGTTGCAAAGTTCCTGTCTCACTACTGCTGCTCTCCCAAGCCACTGAGAGCTGATAATGTGAGTAGTTCCAGTACTTTTGGTTAGATATCAACAATTTGATGTACAGACGGTTATAACTTAAGTGAATATAGAAAAAAAGTTTTTTTTTTTTTTTTTTTAAGTTTTTCTAACTGAGGTTATGAAGCCTGCTAAAAGTAGAGCTTGTGACAGGTCAAACACAGGTTGGATGTGAGGGCCTGACCTATCTGCATGCATAAAGTCCTGCACAGCAGCAGGTTGGTCATGTTCTCCTCACACCACCCCCCTGCTCTTCCTGGTGCAGTGTTGCACAGACCATTTGGAACCATTCAGGGTAAACTATAGTTCTCACATAACACTTTTAAACAGCACCGACCTTCATCACGCTGCTGCCTTCGACGTTTCAGATCTGCTCTGTTAGCTTCTCATCTCCCAAAGAAACATTTTTTCCTTTTAACCACTCTACATAGGAATCATGAGCTAATCGATAAGGGATAAAAACTTTAGGTACCAATGTCCCTGCGTTTACCTTCCACTCTGAGGCTGAGCTTAAAATGTTTAATGGTCCAGACATTTTCCTTGGTAGCAATAGGTCAAATTATCATCTGTTTTGTTTTGTGAATTTCTCACATTGTCTGTTGAATATTTTTAGATCAATCTAAATTTTCTTTTGCAGACACTTTATTATCGATGCACCATGCTTTGGACCAGTACTGCTTAGAAGCCCACTTGAAGCCAACATTCAGCTTTTGCACAGATGGCCCCGCATTTGACTGAAGATTACTTTGTACACAGAGGAGTTGACAGTTGCCTCAGTGACAACAAAGCACACAGACTACTTTGGCCCAAAAGATATATGTAGAATAGATCCATCTATATCACTACAGCGTCATTAAAGTGCAGGGTAGTGAAAGGTTTATAAGGGATTGTTATGCAAAGGGTTTCACAAAAATGGCAAAAACAGATAGATAACAAATTATATATATCAAAATAACTGTGGAATGTAGACATTAGATGTAAAGAAAAAATGGGAAATGTCAATCTAAAGAAAAAAGAAAAAAAAGTAAAGACATGATAGACATAAAGAAATAAAATAAGCGTTCAACTTCACAAGAAAATATTAGGAAGTGCAAATGCATTGATATGTAGTTGTAATTTAAAAGAGGGAACAGCTTCAGTTCAGGTTCTGTTTTTAATTTAAGGAAGTTGGTTCCAGGACATGTAAAGTACAACAAAGAAAAAAGTTTATTATTCAGACTAACTAGACTAACACTGGAGTAAAAAAAAAAAAAAAACTGAAGTGTTAAAAAAAAATGTGTTCTATGTTATTTTTAATCAACAACAACAACAACAAAAAAAACGTATGAAAAACAGTATCATCCATCCATTTTTCGTCACGTTTATCCTGAATTAGAACCAGAGAATCTAATCAGAAATGTGACTGACACCGACAGGGTTGCACTCATTTTGGATGTGATCAACCATTAAATGGCTTTTATTGGCCGTTATCGGTCCCATGAAATGGCTTTGCCTCCTCTATTTTCTAGTAGGTTTTTATGGCTGATAATATCCAATCGATAGACAATAATGTGCTGCTCAGTGGCACAGTGGGTAGCACTGCTGCCTTGCAGCAAGAAGGTTTGGGGTTCGATTCTGCATTGAGTTTGGATGTTGTCCCTGTGCAAGCGTGGGTTCTCTCCCGGTACTCTGGCTTCCTCCCAGTCCAAAAACATGTATGTTAGGTTTAACGGCTTCTCTAAATTCTCCTTAGGTTTGAGTATTTGTGTGAATGGTTGTTTGTTTCTGTGTTGCCCTGCGATGGACTGGCAGCCTGTTCAGGGTGACCCCGCCTCTTGCCCGAAGACAGCTGGTGATAGAACAGGGATAAACAGTATCATAAAGGTTTTTTTTTTATTTTATTTTACAAAAACTCTATTGTAACAGCATAATTATATACATTGTCAAACAGACTCACTGAGCTGCAACTATACATGCAACACATCTACAATATGCCAATTTGCTCTCTGCTTAATTTGCTTTTGGAAACAACCTCTGGTTTAGTAGCTGGATGAGTTTACCACATATTTACCAACTCTGTTATTTTGTTGGCTCTTTCATAGAAGACTGTTTTCACCATTTGTTGTGTTTCTTTCAGGTTGTGGTGATGAATGGCTGTGGTTCGCTCTTCTCATGTATTGCTGCTGTAATTTGTGATCCTCAAGGTGGGCTGAAAAAGGCATATTGCAAGCACCTGCGTTAGCTGAATACAAATATCCACGCAACAGAGAGCTTTTTATTTTTTTAAACTCATATTGTAGACACAACAAGTTGGAGAAAAAACACAGGTATTCAATCAGCTCCATAAATGGCATGTTTTTCAGTTCAAACGCAGGCATGACCTCTTTTTAGGCACCGCTGAGCTTCTTTTCAGACTAAATTTATCTCTTGCCTCCAGGATGGATCACTAAACCAGCCTTAGCCTTTTACTGACACAAATAGTCTCTATGGACTAAATCTTAGCGTCATGAAAAATATCAAAACTGAAAACTTAAATAATATAGAAAATAGGTGATTTAAAAATATAAATTGTTTATTTTTCTGAAATGTAATTTAAAAATATTCAAAATTATATTATTATTACATGCCATGCAAAACCTTAAATATTTTTACCTTTTCCTTTACTGTTATCCAATATTTTATATATATTTATGGGGATTTGCTGTGATAGACCAAACTGTAATGTAGAAGAAAAATATAATAGACCGTTTTTATGTTTTATTTTGTTGCAAATAAGTGTCTAAAAAGTGTATTTTTATTTAGTGTTCTTTATAATTAAGCATCTTTTTCAAAATCCAACATGTAAACTGCCCCCTCTTAGAATCTACCTTTCGCTGTGTGTTTCTCTCTTTCAGATGCCATTCTTATTCCTACTCCTTTCTATGGAGTCATAACTGAAGATCTGAATTTGTACAGTGCTGTAAAACTCTTCCATATTCCTCTGGATTGTGAGGTAAGAATACTGATCTGTTTTTATGGAAAACAAACATTTCCATTTATAAACTGCAGCAGGGATCAAAATGTAAACAGTGTAGGAGATATATGGTGCAAAAGGCATTGATATGGAAGGTTCAGAGCAGTGCAAAAATAAAAAAATAGATAAATATGGTGCAAAATGCAGTAGAACACTTAACACTTGACACTAGAATTCTATTTAGTGAGATTTGAAAATTCGCCATGTAGTGCTAATATGTTTACAGTGTGATGAAGAGTCTGATTTGTGACTTGATTAGAGTTTCAACAGTTCAACAGTCACTGAATCATCATTTGAAATGTAAAATAAAGTGATCATGTTTACTCACATGAGGTAATTTTGTTTATGTCTAAAATGTTTTTGTTTTGCCTTTTCTTATTGGTCATATATAGGCTGATGGCAAAGACAGCAGACCCTTTCACCTCACCGTTGGGAAACTGGAAGCAGGGCTGAGAAAGGCTAAGCAAGAGGTATTCCATTGACAGGATAATCTCATAAATTCAAATAAGAAAATACACTGAATGGGGTATTTTTCTCATTAGCACTTTAAGGGAGTTTATATTTACTTAAAGGCTGTTGCTTTCTTTAAGGGGAAGAACATTCGAGCCCTTATTCTCATGAACCCTCACAATCCTCTGGCTGAGATCTACACTCCAAAGGAAATGATTGCCTTCTTAGAGTTTGCTAAAAGGTATGTTTACCCCTCTATTATCCAACGGTTTAGCCGGATGTAAATCCTCCTGCACATCTGTGATGTGTTCTCTACAGTGTGTAGAATAACAAGTGTTTGTCATAGACTTTTATCGCCTCTTCTTAACATCAGCATATTGTCAAATACAGCCATGTGCCTAAGAGTCACAAGAGTAATTCCCCTCAGCGTGCAGAGCTGCTATAGCCATAAATCTCTGGGCTTTTACACTGACAGCAGACACTACAGGGATCATTTTACATTTATTTTTGCATTTTCTTTGTTGTTAATAGTGAGTGAAAGCATGAAAATAGTTTTTTTTGTGGCATCTCTTTTCAGAAATGAGCTGCACGCCATTGTAGATGAGGTGTACATGCTGACGGTCTTTGATGAGTCTGTCACCTTTCACAGTGTCCTCAGCATTGAGAGGTTCTGCATGATTACTGTATTAGAACCTTAATCATCACAATTCCGACTGAGGACATTCTCTTATCTCCCACTGATTTGCCCTTATTTCAGTTTGCCCGACCCACAGAGGACGCATGTGATGTGGGGGATGAGCAAGGTACTTACTGCCAACCAGAGAGTTCTGCATTCCTGCTGACAGAACAGAATTAAAAGTTTCCTTCTGTGGGTATTTGGTCTCACAGCTTTTTGTTATTCTTTCTGTCTTTTTTTTCCCTTTCTAGGATTTTGCAATGGCAGGAATCAGGATTGGTACTTTATATACTGTGAACACAGATCTTGTGGAGGCTTTGGCTCAGCTGGGCTCCTTCCACGGTCTGCCTGGAACTTTGCAGCACCAGGTGGCTCAGCTGCTCCGGGACAGAGGTATGAGCCAAGATTCTTAAGTGTCTGTATAAACAAATCATCTCTGACAATTAATTGTTAAAAGCTGATCATTTTTTTCCCTCACAGAATGTTTTTTTTTTTTTTTTTTTATAAAAGCAATAAAAGCTGTCAATGTGTAATATTTGTCATATTGCACCGTAAATATTTGTCAATTGCTCCAAACTACATGACATTAATGATTAGACATAAGAAAAGTTGTAAGATTATCCTTGAAAAAAACAAATAAATCCACAAAGGGGAAAAGCTGAACAGATCAACTAAATTCTATTTACAGATTTGAATAATGAATAAAAACGCAATAAAATGCTTAATATAAATAAAGATACATTTTTATGTAAAAATTTTACATAAAATGTTTAATCAAGATGTCAAACTGCAGTTGATTTGAATAGATGTGATGATCTTTTCTTTTTAGCTCATGTTCTGAAGATACCTAGAAGGTTCTAGTTGTTTGACCTCAGTGTTTTAGATGAAAAATAATGACGTAAAGAGGTTTTAGGTATGATAGAGTCGTAAGAACCAATAACATCAATAGAATATAATAGAACTTTATTGATCTCACAATGGAGAAATTCACTTGTGACATTTGCTCTAATAAACAAACAGAAGGGCAATTAAGGAGGAAAATGTGCATGAAGTATATATAGTGCATCTAGATATTTAAAGTGGATGGTAAAAAATAAAGGAGAGATTTAAGGTGACTTATATATACAGTATCTTATGTACAGTAAAGGTAAAGTGTGGTTTCTGGTTTGTTAAATAGATAAATAGTATAAGTTATCGCAGTGTTATTATACCAGGTTATAATCCAGTGGCATTGTAAAGTCAATGGCAGCAGGGATGAATGACCTGCAGTAGCGCTCCTTTTTACACACGGAGTGTATAAGTCTGCTAATAAAGGAGCTGCTCGGCTGGTGCTTTAATGAGTCTTAAAGTCCACCTCGTAAGGCACAGTGTAACAATGGTGGCCAACTCTGAGCTAAATTATGCTCTGACTGTTTTGCACAATCTGGGCTGTGGTATTCTGCACCAGTTTTTTTATGGTATAAAAGATATTTGTCCCTTTATAGTAAGAATTATAAACTCTGTTTATAATTAAACATTTATGAAATACTAGTTTACATATGAAGCTAGTTTTAAGAATTAACATTTGGTAATTAAATTGCCATTTTTATATGGGCTGTCAAACGCTCTTAACAGAGGATACACTGATAAGAGCCCAAGAGCAGTGGTTTGGTTGTTTACAGTATCTAACTTAAAATGCTAGATTGTTTCTTCTCTGTTTTTATAAAGTCAAGGAAATATGAATAAATCTGTTATTGTTTTTGCGTTTAACCTTTATTTATAAAGGTTATTTTGTTTAGGTCTGACATCTCATTTATAAAAGGGACTTTAAAAAAATACAACAAAAAAGATATCAACTTAGAAATCTTTGAAGCTCCGACCTTAGGTTATTTAAACATAGAAAATATGATATAAAAACAAGTGCAAATTTTGTAACTGATGGAAATTTTACTAATTATCAGAGCCAGATTTCTTTGGAGCCTCCCAAGCCTCTCCTGTAAAAGAAACTTGTTGGTTTAGTGATGAACCAGTAACTACCTTGACTCCCATCTACTAGCTGTTGAAACCACACAAGTTTGTCAGTAACTTGTTAAAAAGACTATCAAACATTTTTTTTTTTAGGTAAAATTGATATTATCAATCAAACACCTGCTCTTTCAATTTTAATTGGATCAAATGAATATCTGTTCAATAAAATGCTTTAAAGATTTTATTTTTTTTCCATAAGAAGAGCAGGCTTAAACTCATTTTACAATACAGATTATTTATGAAGCATTAAAACATCCACAGGAATAAAGTGCTACACACAATCATAAGATACAAAATGATCAATCAAAAAAATATTAAACAAAGCAATATATAAAAGTCATAATAAAATAATGAAATAAAGCAAAGTCAGACATCTCAGATTATGTCAAACCTCAAACATAAGGCATGGATTTTAAGAAAGGATTTAAGAGCAGAAAGTGAAGAGGCCTGTCTAATGCCTGAGGGAAGGTCATTCCACAGCTTTGGAGCTCGTCTTTGGCACCCTCAGTAACAGCTGGTCAGCTGATCTGAGAGGGTGTGTATGGATGAAGCGGATCAGACCGGTAGGGTGGATCAAAGCCATTAAAAGCAAACAAAACGATTTTTAAAAGAATCCTAAAATATGCTGGCAGCCAGTGTAAATCAGCTAAAATATAGGAAATATGTTAAATGTACTGTACTGATACTTTTTAAGAAACATGCAGCAGCATTCTTTACTCTCTGAAGCTGGAAGATGCATGAATCACTGACTCATATAGAGCAAAATGCAGTAATTTAACCAAGTGGTTAAAAAGGCATAGAATACAATTTCAAAATGACTAGAAAGAATGCGTTTTAATTTTGCTATTTGACTCAAGTGAAAAAAAGCTGGATTTTACACCAGCTTTAATGTGATTTAAAAACTTAATAACATAATCTATTTTAACCTCTAAATGTGTAATAGTAGGCCTGACATACTGGGTCAGACGCAGCAGCAGTCAGGTAGATTTCCCTGGAAATACCAAAAAACACCACCTCTGTCTTTTCATCATCAAGTTTTAAGAAGCTTAGAGCCATCTTTTTTTTCTGGTCTGCCAAGCAAGAAAGGGTAGAACAAGGAAAGGTAATGTCATTTTTCTTTAGTGGGACATAAATCTGTGTATCATCTTCATAACAATGAAAATAAATCCCATCATTCTTAAAAAGAAAGCCAAGTGGGAGGAGGTACAACATGAAGAGGATCAGAATAAAGCCCTGCAGGACAACACACACTAATGAAGCAGAGAAGAACATGTGGCTATGAAGACAAACACATAAAGCTTGGCCAAATAAGATTTAAACCAATCTAGAGCTGTATGGCCACCCCCCACCCACTGTTCCAAACGAAAAAGTAAGTTCTGTGGTCAACTGTGTCAAAAGTAACTGACAGATCTAACAACAAGACAACACAGTCACCAGAGTCAGTAAAAAAAAAAAACATAAAAAAACTTTTAAGAGAGATGACTCTGTACTGTGAATACATTTAAATCCAAACCATAAAATGATTTTGAACGACAATTCTCTGCAACAGCAACAAGCTAATGGTCTCAGCTAAGATCTGAACCATTACCATTTTTGAGAGCAAACTATTATAATTTATATGGAGAGTCTTATTAATGCATTGCTATTAATTTTTTCAACTTCATGGGTGAAAAAGATAATCTGCAAAACTTTGGGGGTTATATTATAGCTCCAAAAAAGAACACAAAGTTAAAATATAAAGTAAGCAACAGGGTGGCTAAAACAGTGCCCTGTTGGACTCCATAGGTGGTGTAACAGCCAAGAAATATTTGCCTATACCAAAACAAAAACAAAAAAATGACAAATATATGCTAAAACCCTGCTTTGATCAAAAGAATAACCTTTCACTTCAGTCAACAGGTCATTGAATGTCATTTAAAACTTTCAAAATCTCCCAAAACGATTTAATCTACCCCCTCCTTTATATGGCAATCTGACGTACTACTTTACAGTATAGTAAAGTGAAGAAAGTTTGGTGATTTAAACTGTACATGTGACTTTGCATTTTCACAGACTGGATCAACAACGAGTTTCTACCAGGGAACCGTTGCAGGCTAAAAAGTTCTCACAGTCTTCTTACCACAGAGCTGCGAAGCATTGGCATCCCCTTCCTGGACAGACCTGCTGGCCTCTATGTTTGGGCTGACTTTAGGAAGGTAAAACCCCCCAAAACTATCAATATCAGTAACGCATTTATCTCTGTTGAGATCAATATTTTCTATTAGCTTGGAAAACATGGGGGTTTGTTGTTTAAATGTCAACTCTTTGTTGTTGTTTCAAAGTATCTGAGCGAGTCATCATTTGAGGCAGAGTTGGCTCTTTGGAGGCGTTTTCTCAGACACAAAGTGTTGTTGAGCTGCGGCCAAGCATTTTCATGCTCTACACCTGGATGGTTCAGGATCGTCTTTGCAGACCAGCAGCCCCAACTTCAGCTCGGTCAGTCTCATCCCCTGTTTTACATTTCTTCATAAGGAATAAATCACTACTACTCAACAAACACCCTTGAGACTCTGTTGGTAAAAATTAGGAATGCAACTATATGACAACACGTGCTGATATGGATATCAGATATTAATATTGATGATATTTACCCATATTATATATTTCCCCACCACATTGGCACCTTGAAAAAACGTTCATAGTACCAATACTCCTTCCCTGCTCTGCATCGTTATCACTGTCTCATGACTAAATAAAAAACACGTCAAGCCCCCCATCATAAAACACAGAAGAACAAATGAATGAAAATAAACTTAATTGTTGATATCAGCCATGTTTTACTTATCAACCTGATAGCAATATGATGAAATGACCATTATCAAGGTTTTTGTCAATATATCATCTATTTATAGTAGACATTCAGCTTAACATGTTATTATCAGCAAGCATGCAACCTATGTTTATTCCCATATATCATAACATTGCAACAGATTTAACTCTGTCATTATATATAGAATATAACTAAAAAGTAAAATAAATAGAAAAGATGTTATACTAAGCATACCTGATTCCTTTACCAATATTTAGACGGGAAATCTTGAAGCCTATTTGCTGCTGATTAATTATTGATAACCTTCTATAAAATTAGGGGCTTTAACATTGTGGTGCTTTGGAAGATACGGATGTGTGTTAACACAATGCCAGTAAGGAGAAATTTTAGAAGTGACCTTAGAAAAGCAGCTGTTTTTGACTATCAATCTTGGAAAGGTTATAGGGGCATTTCCAAACAATCTGAAATCCATCATTTTAAAGTGAGACATATTGTTTATAAGGTAAACAGACTGCTTAGGACAGATGACAGTCCTCACAGAAAGGGAAGGACAAACAAATTCATCATTCGGTCAAATTATACATTGCTCAGATAATCTGCCAAAGTGTGAACAAGAGCCCCATAAACCTTTCAAAAGGAATCACTTAGAAAAGCGGAAGCACAAGTTCTTAAAAAGTTTAGACCAAATTTGATAAATTTTTTATGAAAACAACACATATCTGTGCCAACATGCTGACTATCGAGGAGAGGAATGGAGGTCTAAAGATGAGCTGGTTTTCTACCACAGAGCCGATCTACTATGCAGTCATGGAGTTGACTTTGAACGTTTCTCTCAAAACCAAGGTTTTCTGAAGTCAAAAGTTAGGAGATGTGAAAATGTGATAATAATCAGTTATCCAAACCACATCTTAAAATCCACAAGTATGAGGCTGAAGAACAAAACACTGAAGAGGTTGCAATTTCCCCATCAAAACCCAAACCTCAACTAAATTTAAAACCTTTAACGTAGCTTTATAGAAATTAATATAATACATATAAAAATATTAAATATACGTAAACAATTATTTTACTATATATTTTAAAGACCAAATGTTTAATGTATTTTTACAAGAGTTAAAAAAAATCCAACATTATTGAGTTAATTATTTACATATTTGATTTGAGGATCTATTTAATATATGGTATATTTAAACATTTAAAGGTATATTTATTTATTTAATTGTGTCTTTACCTTTTTCCTGAAACATTTAGTTATTTTCTGGGACAAGGAGATGTATATATTTTATAAAGTTTTTTTTTTTGCCCTTAAAAATTGGGAGCTCACATCACAGGAATTTCAATAATCAATTCCTTTAAGCATTGCTGTCATCTAATAAAATCCTCTCTGCCCCATCTTTCTTTAGGTTTTATTACATTGTTCTTAGGAAATGTATTATTGTTTTCCTCTTGCTACATAGTAAAGACTGGATTTGACCCACCTAAGCTGCGGATCTAAGCAGCTCCATCAGAATTTCATCAACATGTTGCTTGTCTCTCAAATTAATGCTCTACTTCCCAGGCCTGCCAGTGTAAATGACTTCTCAGGGCTATTTATTTGCACCGGATTTTATGTTGGTAAGCCGGTCTAAAGGGAGCTAATACATATTCACACTCTTTTTACATTTTAATTGGTAACAAATAGAAATATATTTAATTTTTAATCTCCTTCTCATGTGCAATTATAAATACATATGTTTTGCTTTTAAAAATAAAAACCCAGAAAAATACAAGCAAGCCAATCTAAATATGGAAACGTTCAAGGGGTATAAATATGTTGGCAAGGCGCTCTATACTAAAGTTAGGCAGAAACTAATGATGTTTTGTGTCTTTTTAGGCCTAAAGCGAATTCAGGAGACTTTGAAAGAAACCCATGGAAAAAGTATCACCTCAGATACACCCTCTTTTAAAGGAATTGTTGATGGGAGTAAAAAAACTGTAAAAGAGGAGAGCGACGAGTCAGACAACGCTGCGATTGTTAATTCCACATCCTCGCCCCAGAGCAAGTCATCAGACCAGCTGAAAGAGAGGGATAGCCCTGTTCCTGACACAGGCTCGCTTGGCGCAGAGGAGTTTGTTTTGCTGGACTGCCAAGGATCTAAGCCTGCAGAGAGTCTGGACTCACTTATTGGTACTCTAAGGCAGCAGATTCGTTCCTCTGATTGGCTGGAAAAGAACACTCCAGTGCTGTCTCATGGAGAGGACCCAGAAATTCTTGATGTATTCAAGTCCCTGCTGCAAAGAGCCAAAAAGTAAGCTTAAGATAAACAGACGTGAATGCGGTTGCCTAAGATTTCAACAGGCAGTGCTTATTTTTCATTCTTCCTGCTTGTGTTTAATATGAAAAGCATGACAAAGACGTCTGACTCTGGGTCATATCTGATGCATGCCTCTGTGTGCATCAGTGGAGAATGAGATAAAAAAGAAGAGGGGAAGAAAGATATTGGATAAAAGACCCTCGAACGGTCGATAGAAAGGAAGATTTTTCCTATTCTTTCATCTTGAAGCCTTACTATGTGGTAGTTTGATTTTTTAGCTATAGTGAGAGTTCACTGATTTTCATTAATCCTAGTTAAATACCAAATGATAGACAACCAAAAACAGTCAAGTTCTACTCAAGTTCAATTCTTTTGCACCATTTAATGATTCAGAATGCCTTGAACGATCTGTGAATAAAGGATTCATTGTGCCATTGTTCTCTGTCATTGCTCTGAAACATTACAGAAATAGTGTGTGCAGTGTAGTTACATCTTAACAGATTATTATTGAAAAATATAACTCATATTTATTTGTTAAATTCATAATAAAATGCTATAGTGCAAGAAAATATTTCTACTCTTTTTGATGTTTTTTTTTTTTTTTTACAATATTTAAATGCTACATGATTATATTAAATAGATTTGACTAGCTTTGTTATGGTCAGAAGTGAGTAGAAACTAGCTACATTCATTAATTTACATTGATATTTGAGTAACTTCAAATGACTGGAATAGTTTTACTACACTAATTTTTTTCTTGTACTAGAAGCAATGTTAGGACGGTTTTCTACTCTTGCTTGAGTGAAGATTCTCATTGCTCTACATGCTGTGAGTAACTTCATTAAATAAAGAACAGATTTGTTTTAATCAAAGAGGCACCAGAGAGACACAGATCTACAATTTGTTTTAAAGCAAGACTTCTTGTTTGTATACAAATGGTTGCTATGTACATTAGGGCCTATTTACTGTACTTGTTACAGTTGAGTAAATTGAAAAGTAGGTGGGCTACAGTACTTCTCACTTTTTTCATGAGTTATTTAATGGTTAATTAGTGCTACTCTTACTTGAATTCAATTTCTGGCTACTGTACTCCCCCCCCTCTACAGATTAATAAATACCCTTCACTTGCGCAATGGCCCAGCAGACAGTGGATAATGCCAACGAGCCATAGAGTCATTGTTAAATATGACTCTGAACAGACTCCTCTACCTTTGCATATTAATAGAAGGTTTACTGTAAGAAGGTTGCAGAAAAGGCATGGAACATTTATTTGTATAATATCTTTCAGCAACAACTCATGGTGCTGAACATACACAAGCATAAGAGAAAGAAAAAGGAAAAGTAAATGACAGTGGCATTATAGAGAAGTGTAAATAAAGTTTGACAGCAAACTTCAGGCAATGTTTCAGTTAACAGTTTAAATTGAACAGTAAAGATTATGTTTTTAACTTCAATTAAATCTGAAAAACTAACAAAGAGAAAAGATGATTAGGAGAAATTTATTGATACAATTACTTTGTCTTTGGTGCTCAGACCTCGGCAGGAAACATAGCACTTGATTTTGATAGATATGCATGAACAGGAGCAAAGAATAGGGCTGTTTCCCCCCAGGCTTGAAACTGGTGGTGCAGTGGAGATACAGTAGATGAAGTTGGTCAGTCTGTAGACTGCTGGTTAGCGAGACGGTATGCTGAGCTTTATGGGTATCCAGTGGATTGCATGAGCTAATTCTAGAGCCTTACTCAGGGACCTAGAAGATGGAAGTCCAGTTTGGATAACACATGTTGAGAGAACCTGTCCATGATGAGCAAGTATGAAGCGACAGCGGAGAGGAAAAACTCCCCGTTGGGAAGAAACCTCTGGCAGAACCAGGCTCAACATGACGGTCTTCTGCCGGACCTGTTAAGATGAGACGGGGAACGCAGTAAGAGTCTGGACGGAATGACACTCTGGTGAAGCTTTAGCTGCGAAGGTGGAGGAGGGGTTGGAGGTGGGTTGAAACGGTGTCATCAGAATGAAGTCACAGCACATCAGCCGCCTGCGCACAGGAGGAGACAGGTGCATATCGGAGGCCTTTTAAGATGAGCTTTGGATGCCGATTGGCTTTCGTGGAGGTGTGGTTCAAAGCTGATTGGCTGTGTCGCAGGTGGATGTATGAAAAGAAATGATTTTCTTCAGTTAAACTTCTGCCTAGGCTTCATGTTAAAGAGTTGTAGGGTTCAGTGTTCTTATGTTTTTAGTAGATCAGTGGGGCATGAGAACTAAAAGCTGATTCTCCATGTTCTGGTTCTGGGAATGCAGAATAGACTTGGGCCAGAGGCGTGTGATACGTTGACAGCAGGTCTGTAATGTTTTGTGGTGCTCGACATTCAATGATTTATAGACTAACAGATGTGCTTTAAAGTGTATTGTCTGATATACAGGGAGCCAGCGAAAGATCTCTTTAACAGGGGTGATGTGCTGCACTTTCTCAGTTTTACTAACGATCTGGATCTACTGCAGCTGTCATTGGGACTTTTTTTTAAACAGACCAATAAAGACACCATCATCTGGTAATCAATTCCACTAACGACAAACACATAGATTAGTGTTTTCAGATCCTGCTGGGACGTTAGTCCTTTAATCATAAAAAGTTCTTCAGGTGATTAAAGGCAGACTTAGTTTCTGTCTTTATGTGCCTCTGAAAGTTCAGGTCTGAGTCCATCACTACACCCAGATTTCAGGGCTCATTGGTGGTTTCTAAATGAAGAAACTGTAGCTGTGTGTTAACTTTGACCAGTTCTCTCTTCCCCCAAAAATGTTTGAAGTAGTTTTTTTTCCTTCTTCTTCTCTTTTTTTTTGATTCAGCTTAAGAAAATGTTGGCACCACCATGCACTGAAGTTTTTTTATTTTTTTTTATTTACCCAGTGATGGAATGGGTTCGTAGTCTTGTGGTGACATCATAATGTACCGCCGTGTGTCGTCTGCATTGTTATGCTAACTTATGTTCTTGATATATTCCGAGCTAGGGGGAGTATGTAGATATGGAATAGGAGGGGCCCCAGATTAAACCAGATGAAATGTTTGTGGTCTCTGTTGTAAAGTTACCTACTTACACAAAAAAAAGTCCCTGGTCTTTAAGTAGGTTTTAAACCCATTGAGTGCTCTACCAGAAAGGTCGAGCCTGTTGTTTCACTAAAGCCCAACAGTTGTTTTTTTTTTTTGTCTCTACTAGACACAGAAGTCTGTCTGAAAGACATTAAGCGGCTGGTCATTATTAGGAAGTTGTTTAACATTTGAAAATAAGATTTTTCACTAATCTTACTGATGAAGGGGAGATTCCAGATGGGTCTGTAGTTCTGCAGCAGCAGCTTGTCAAACTTGCTTATTTTCAACAGCGATTTGATTTTTTCAGGGGGGCCTGAGGGAAAACACCTGACACAAGGGACGTGTTTATTATTTCAGTCAAATCAGAAGTTGTAACAGGCAGAGCCTTTTTAAAGAACAGTTTAGTATCTGTATGATTTTTTTTCTTCACATTTTTTTTAGCTAATTTAGCTGAATTGGGGCATTTTTTCAAAATAAATTATAGTTGAAGATGGCTTTGGTTCTGATATTGATATGGATATGCCGACTGCCTCTCCAGTCTTTCAGCTTTATGATTGAAGAAGTTAACAAAAGTTTTGCTGGTAGTGGAGTGGAAAATGAAACAACTGGAATAATTACAGCCTTTGGAAACTTTTGAAGCAAAGCCCATTTAAAGTTAGAAAGAGATTAAGATGTAGGATGTAGGATGTAGCGTGTGTTTCTGATCCAAGAGCCAACTTATACAGACATAGGCTAAATTTGTCACATTAAATGAAGCCTATGCGGAAGTTCAAATGAAGAAACTGATTACTTACCCTCATCCGCCTCCGACACAGGCCAATTAGCTTTGAACCACACCTCCATGAAAGCCCAATCAGCATCTAGATTTCATCTTAAATGGTCTCCGAATCCACAACTCAGTCTGCTACCCAAAGTGCAGGCAGCGGTTGCACTATGTCTGACTCCGATTCAGATGACCCCAATTCAAACCACCTCCATCACATTCTCCACCATCGTAGCTAAAGCTTCATCAGATTGTCATTACTCCCGGACTCTTACTGCGTTCCCTGTCCCATCTCAACCGGTCCAGCATATTGAGCCTGGTTCTGACAGAGGTTTCTTCCCAAATGGGAGTTTTTCCTCTCCACTGTCACTTCATGTTTGCTCATCATGGACAGGTTCATGCAACCTTTGTTATTCAAGCTGGACTTCCATCTTCCAGGTCCCTGCATGAAGTACTAGTATCAGCTCACGCAGTCAACTGGGTCTCTCCATACAGCTCAAGCACACTGTCTCGCCAACCAGCAATCATGGACAGACCAGCTTCATCCATCTCCACTCCACCACCAGTTTCAGGCATGGGGGGAAATATCCCTGTTCATTACTCCTGATTATGCAGAACAAAGCAAAATTCAGCGCTAATGTTCTCTGCTGAGGTCTGAGCGCCGAAGACTAAAGTAATTGTATCAATAAAATTCTTCTAATTGTCTTTTTCTTTCCACCAGAGATTTTCAGATTGAAATGTGTTAAGCCATTCCTGGAGCTTAAATATTGCAGCTTCTTACTTGAGTTAATGACCAAAAGGATTGGACTGTTTTTGTGTGATGCAAAATCAGTTTTCTTTAGAAGATTAACTTCCTATTGAATTGGAAAACAGACGAAATGCATAGAGTGTGAAGGAATACAGGAAAGACACACAATCTGGTTAGCTTGAGGTGAACTCATTGGAGAGTCATGTCATGCGCCGCTGTTTGTCCCCTGTGTTTTATCAAGTCATAAGAGGAAGATGACATCAGAATGAACAATGTAGATGAGTTAAAGGTTTCTATTAGAGCAAACCTGTCTTTTTTAACTGCTTATCAGAACCCAAGGTAGAACACCTCCATGTGATAACACATTAATACAGTCATTTAGACAAAAGTAACCTCACCAAGTATTGAGAACTATACAGTACAGTGCAAGGACATGTTTTAAATGTTGATATTTGTGAAGAAAACCAAAAATTAGTTTGATTATTTCATTAGAAATAAGCAATAGACATAATCTGAAATCAATGTTTTAAATAATCTACATTACTGTGTCTTTTCTGTATAAAAAAGATCCACTTTTTGAACTAGATTACTGAAATTATGTTTTTTTGGTTGACCTACTTACTGAGGTAGACATATTTATCTTAATCTGTAGTTCAATCTGTATCGAACAGATTGAAACGTTTTTGTTTGGGTGGTCTGTGGGTGCCATTCCGTTGGAACAAAGGAAATGGAAAGGGTGAAATTTACATGACGAGGAGGAGAGACCTCGGGGGTCGCCTACGCTCTGAGCGTCAACACATTGTCATCCACTGTAAAACACTAAGTGTTTTCCTCTTACGTGTTGTTGTGTATAGTGAGCCGATGACATCCCCCCCCACACACTTTCTGAGTGACAAAGGCAAAAACCAAGGTGCTTTTTCAAAGTTCAAAGTTTCACTTTGTGTAAGTCATTTTTTTTACTTCTCTAAAATGCATAATTCCATTACTGTCATTTTTTTATGATAGCAAACAGATTTCTGCTTCTTTAAATAGCAGCTTTCACTTTCTTTTAAGTGAACCTCAGTGGAGTGTATGGGGGGGAAAGTTCCTGACTGACGAGGGGGGAGTTTCCATTGCAGAGGAGGTGGAGTCACACCACAGGGTTTTATCTCAGAGGGCTTGTGGTCATAAGCAGTATAAAATATTATGTCCACGTGTCTGAAGGTGTTTTTTGTAGATGCAGTAGCAGATGCCTTTCTATCACCAAACAAGGTAAGACTAACATTCTTAAAGATGATTTAAAAACCTAAATTAGTTACCATTTTCTTTCATAGCTTAACTCTAGTTGTTTTTTCTAAACTACTATTCATTCCTACTACTTTCTGTTTCCCTTTCAGTGAGGCAAAATAATGAAGTTTGTCAAGCTGGGAAACACCATCGACCGCTTCAGGTTAGCCCAGTCTTGTTTGGGACTAACAGGTTGCCTGTTTGTGTGCATCTCTGTCTGCACTCCCTACTGGCTAAAAAACAGGGGATTATGGACAAATTGGAACAACACCAGCAGCAAAGAGGACGGTACAACAGAGGATACAACCTTCAACGGTGAGCAAAATATCTGTTAAGTCAACTGAACTGATCTAATCAGCCATTCATGAATACCTGCTTCCACTGTGGGTTAGATAAATGGACTGACTTGATAAAACATGTTGGAAAAAGGTGGCTTTATTATATAGCATATGTACATCTTTGCTGTGTTGATTTGAAACGCAGACCTAAGGTGACCTGTTTAGTTTTTCCCTGTATTTGGGATTAGTTTCAATAGGAACATCTGATGAAAGACCTAGGGTTAGATTCTAAGCAGTGGTAAACAAGTCTGATCCTGCTCCTGTGCCAGAGAACTGCTTACTTTGTACCTGCTGGAGCTCTAATTCCTGGCTCTGTGAGAAACATGCTGAAGCAGGTTTTTTTTTTTGTTTAGCCATATCTTTATTTCTCCACTGAAATAAATGAAATGATCAACTTCCTGTTAGTTTAGTTCACCCCTTATTCATTTTCAACATAAGTTTTTCTTTTTTCATATTCAAAACTTGTAGGAAAAAAAATACTGGTAATAAATATTTTGATAATGATTCTTAATCTAAACACTTGGGGGAAAAAAAGAATATATGTATATATATATATATATATATATATATATATATATATATATATATATATATATATATATATATATATATATATATATATATATATACATATTAACCAAGCTCCAAAAGTCTAAAGTAGACCTTGAATTAGGAAAGAAAACATTTATACCTCTCAACGTTGTAGTCCTCTTTGTGGCCTATTATGACCTCTTATACATTGTTGTTTTTTTTATTTAAGAACAGATTATGAACCAGTGTTGTATTTTTCATTTTTATTTGTTGTTAATGGTAGTTTAACATGTGAAACCCATCTAGAAGAATTAAACTGAGTTGAAACTTCCATTGGAAAATTGAGTTGATAGCCTGGTTAACACCAAAAATGGAAAACCCTGTGTAATACAAACAAATAACAATAGGTAATGTTATTGATAACAATACAAAAGCTTAAATATTCACTATGTTATACCTATAATTTCTATAAACGTTTGAATCAAATCTCTCAATAAGTTGATTTAATTCAGGTTTGATATTTTCCTTTCAATTTTGTATAAAATCCCTAAAACTATGTTGTGGTCTTCTTACCTAAACTAATGATAGTTGCCCTTTCCAATGTTCAACTCACTGCATAAAATGATTAGGGAATCTAAAACCCTAAATTTAATTGTACTTATATAAAGTAATTTCAGTAAAATGAGGTCGTTATCCAGCAGTAATCATTTTTTGCTTTGTTTCAACTGGCCACCTGTTGAGATAGCAAAATGTTCACCCTAGACAGCCAGTTTAAGAAACATTGTGATTAAAAAAAAATTCTAACGCCCATAAAAAACAGTATTCAGAAAGTCACTGCTAATGATAAAACAATAACTTTTTCAGAAAACAATGTTTGTGTGTGAACATTGGCACATAAGTGGAAACAACTCACAAATAACCAAAAAAAGGATTTGTCTGTATTAGTTACTGCCTCGATGCAACAAGAGACTTTAATCATACATTTATCACTGGAATCATTATTTAACTGAACATTTTTTATTTTATTTTTCAGCCTTAGAGGCAGAGAGAGTATTTGGAGTCATTTCATTTGTGATGGCTGTGAGCACTGCAGCTCTCTGCCTGCTGTTTGCCCTCTGCTGGACATCTCAGACAGTGCTCTCCTACTCCAACACCCGCTCTCTCCTCATGGCAGGGCAGGCTCTCTACCCCACCACTTTGCTGCTCCTCACCATGGCCTCCACAGGTAATTCAATACCATTCAGTTAATTGAAACAGAATCAAATCGCACATAATCACATAAAATTCAACTTCAAGTCTGATTTAACCATTAATATTCTTCCCAAAACGTTCTTTTAAAAAAAAATCTGCATTACTTCATATATCTTGTGCAAAGCAAATCCAACATGCTCAAATCAACACTGTCAGATAATTTTTTTACACCCTTGAAGTGTCTACAGTATATGGATCCACACCAGTTAGTGTTAATTTGACTCTTTTTGGAGAGTTGGCATTGTTACTCTTATTTAGTGTTGAATAACAAATCTTTCTGGAGTTGATAATTTAACACTTAATTACACCAACTAGGTGTTAGAATTGTAATATTGACAATTCTCATGGAATGTTTGACTAACTATATAGGAGTTATTCTCTAAATACTTAAAATTTAACTTTTCTGGACATATAAAAATCTCTCTGGAGAAATATATAAATAAAGAAGCAATGTTTTTTTTTTTTTTTTAAGCAGATATTTATTTCAAAAGTGCATCACAATTGGAAAATATTTTTTTCAAGACATGTAACATTGTGGAACCTTTGCCAATTTCCACTTCAATACTTTGCTTTGTAACAAAATTCTGAAGAGAACTAAATTCAAACAAAAAATATTTTCATGCACTGCAGAGGAGGTTCATTTCTCCAATTAAACTGCCGTTTGCTGCATATTTTTTTTATTGGAGACAGTCTTCTGATGATGGGGATTCACGTAGCTCCATGCTTTCACGATAACATTTCTCAAATCATTCTTTTAGGTGTATCGATGTTGATGAGTTTAGCCAAAAAAATACATAAAATATTCGTCTATAAACCATTTTTTCAACACTTTAGTTACAAAGATTACTATCACCAAAGCAATGTAGCAAATGTCTATCACACGGCTCTATCTTGACTCAAAACCGCCATAGAGTTAGCAAGCAAATAAAAATTTTAAACCATCTGAGAGAAATTATTTCCCACGCTGCGTAAACGTGTCTGTTTGACAGCAAAACGGAGAGTAAAGTTTCCCTCAGCTTTGTTCGGTACCTGTAGCATTGGAGTCTGTGAATGTACTCATTGGGTGTCAAATCCACTATAGGAGTTCAGAGTTGATAGACAAAGAGTTATTTTTTCCATTTTAACACCTTCAGATTTATTATGTTACACTATTTTTAACACTGAATTTTAACTACTAACATGTGACACCTCAGAGTTCTATTTGTAGAATAGAACTCTATTAAGAGCTAAATTAACATTGTCTTTGAACAAAGTCTACTAACACCATATTATTTAACACTTTTCAATTTGCTGTGTGTACAATAATCCCTGTTTCATCGAGGTGGTGCATGGGAAGGAAGGAAACAAACAAAAGCAGATAAACAATGAAATAGACAGCGCTAAAGGAAAACGGTGTATCAATAAATACATTTAAAACATTTTAGCATGTACACTACAGTTAATCTCAATCATAATTTATATTAATATAAATATTTAATCCAATAACTTGTCTTTTTCAGTCTCATAAAAGTAACTACAATTCAAAAATGCAAACTAACAAAAATTATTTGCAGCACTATTTTCACCTTCCACCCACTTACTCACACAGTGCACTGTTTTACATCGTTAATGTTGAGTTCATTCTTGTTTTAAGCATGGCAAAAATAAAATATACTTAAAAAAAACGCCCACATTCAGCTATCCTCCAAATATCCTTTTGTTTTATGCAATTCCTGTCAGACCTACACCTACAGAAATCCTTTCATGTTATTTTTCATTTACATACCCTGGAGGGAACCAGTTTTAAAGAGACTTTTTAGTGTCCTGGGAATTGCTCTTCATTACTATGCAAACTTGTCTAGGAGGCGCTGAGCGTGTAATATTTGAGCTTATAGTGGTAATGAACCTTAATTTGACTCAAGTATTCCATCTGTCCACAGGTTTCTTCTTCCTCCTTAGCTGGTCTTTCTTCACCTACCAACACAAGGAAGAAATCCGTCAGGAATTCTCCAGCCTCGGCTTTTCATACTGGCTGGGGGCTTTAGGGTGGTTCCTTCTGTTGGTGGTGGAGGCGGCAGTCTTTATCGCAGAGCAAGCTGTGGTGCCGGACGTTATTCCAGATATAGAGAAGGCCGTCAATTCATTGCGGACTTCTGATCAACCTGGGGTTGCTAAAAGGGCTTTGAGTGATGGTTATAAACCTGTTAACTACAAAAGTAATATTCCTAAGAGGTACACATCAGTGATTTAAATGAACGTTTTATATATAAGGATGTGATAGAGATTCTAGACAGCTAGATGAAGGGCTGTCAGGTGCAGGCTGTTTTCAGTATGGACTGAAATAAACTCCAAGTACACTAAGGAAAAACTATGTCAAAGAAAGGTGATATTGTATATTAGACTACAAGGTTCTGAAGTTCCCAGGTTTTGCCTGGAACTTCAGATCCATGAGTCTATTAGCTTCAAGTCTGAAAAGAAAATCAATGTAAACAAAACACTGTCTTAAAATTCAGCCTCTGTCTGAAAGTATCCATCACTGCTGCAATGTACTTTAAGAGCATTAAATTAATGCCATCTTGTTAAGAAGTGTAACACTATTTTGTATAAGCACTTTTAATCTGGTGCAAAGACTGATGAATTTTAGTTGGTTCAAGAAAACGGTGCTTAATTTATCATGTATGAAATGTGGGCTTTGTCACTATGTTTTTTTTAAATTAAAAAAATACAAAATCTGAGCTCTCCTGTTTGTGCTTTCTGAATGTGGCTTCCAGTGATCATGTTAGCTTTTAATAGATAGTCTACTGCATATGCTCTAAGTATATTTAATATAGAGGGAGGCTCCCTCTTCAGGTTCTCCTATTTATTTAGTTGTTATTATAGATGTTGAAAAGATTTCCTAATAATGAGATTTATCTTGGATATCTGGCAACAATTCCCACGTAAAACACACAAAAGTCAGTTCATATTGAAGAATGGGAAATATGAAATAGGCAGTCGATACAACCAAGGTATGTGGAGTACCATATCTGTATGTATAACACTTTAAGCAGATGGAATACAGCAAGTCATTAAGGGGTAAGTGTCAATGTCAGTGGTGATATTCAGATGGCAAGGTCAAAATCTGGCATAAAAGTAGAGAGATAACATGGTGGATATATGGAATAGAGATGGAAAGAGTATTGGCTTACTTTGGGGACCTTGAACCAATTGAACAGTATTTAACTGTCACACTCAACCTCTGTGCTCTTGTTGATCGTGTCTATCCTTTTATGACATCAGTGAAGCAGTTTTCTGAGTAAAGCTCTATGTCAAATTAAATCCCAGTAGCATCCCCAGTGATCCAATCTGTAGTAGCTGTGTGATGATATAGTGTTGATATGGATGGTTAAGAAATACTTTGTAATCTTGTTGAATCTAAAAATTATGCCAAAATTATCAAAATTTGATCTATTTTAATGCTACCAAGAAACACCTATTAAAGTTCCTGATGGGTTTATTTGACAAGTCAAGCTTAGTTCTTTTTTTTAATCTAATATTTGAATCTGAATTCATATAGTCAAAAATAAAAAAAAAACAGTAAAGACCTAAGTATGTGTACATTCATCTGAATAATGAATACATGTTTTGTGTGTTTATTTTTGACCTGAGCAGCATTTTTTATTTTTTGTATTTTTTTTTTCTTTGAGTATAACTTCTGAGTCTCCTATAGAGTGGATGTTAAGATGTGTTTTTTTCTTAGGTTCTGATGCAGGCTTGGATCTGAGGTGCCATTAATGGGCAATTTCTAAGCCTTTTAACTATCACGAACCTCTCCTCTGCAGCAGAGGTATAGCAACTTAGGCTCTTTCTTTCCCTAGGCATTCCCCATCAAAACGAGTTTCATCAAAGAGCTTTGTGGTTTCCAAAGTGCACTTCAAGAAATTTTCACAGATGTGAGAAAATTTCAGAGGAGACAAACCTTCATGTGTTAAAATAAAGATGAGTGTTGTTTTGCTTTGTTCAGCTGTCTTGCACTCACCATAAGAAGAATTAACAGCAGTCAGTTGTTCAATTTTCATGTAAGCACATGTACACAAATGACATAATAAATATATATATAATGACATGATATATATATATTTAATGTACATATTCTAGTAAAACACATTTAAAGGCAATTGGATAACAATGCTTTATCACAATTCTAGTTAATCCCTTCACAATCAACAATCAGGCATCAAAAGACAATTCTGTAAAACATCACACCACAAAATGTCTCTAATTACCACAACATTTATAATTTCAGTGATAGTTAGAGAGAATGCTACCCTCCCAATTCTATAATTTCTTATATTTTGCTCATGTAATGTTATGTGATTCTGCTTTTCACCAACTTATTCTATCTTTGCATCATAATCAATGATGGTGTAGAATGGCCCATGCTTTTGTGCAGCTGTAGTTAGAGTTAAGTCATTTGAAAAACCCTGGTAAAGATTAGATTCATTCTATCGGAAAATGCTAGAACTCTACCTAACTGTATATTTATGCTTTCTGAAAGCATATCTTTTTATCCTTAGAGAATGCAAATGGAACAGGTTGGCATATTTGGTGCAGTAAATGAAGGTTAATACACACACAGCCTAATATGTATCATTGTACAGGTGCATACCCACGTTATATGACATATCCTTTTACATTTATACAGCAGCAGCTCTGCTGTATAAATGCAAACCAAATGTTTTCAATAAGATTGCTGCGTCCTGCTGGCGTATTATTTGGTATTATTGTGTTTAAACTTATTTTTTGTTCAATTTGTTAGTGAATAAAAGCCTTTGTGTATATTAACAGCAACAACTGGATGGCTGATACTGCGCTTTTATGCAGGAGGTGTTCCCAATGAAGTTATAAAAGCCATGTAGACAATGTGTGAAAAAATGCAAATATAAAAAAAAAAAAATGTATTCCAAGAGGAATTTTACAGAGTAACAGCAATGGTATAGTCTCTACAGTCTACATTTAAAAATTGTAAATAGCTAGATAGCTAGATAGATAGATAGATAGATAGATAGATAGATAGATAGATAGATAGATAGATAGATAGATAGATAGATAGATAGATAGATAGATAGATAGATAGANAGATAGATAGATAGATAGATAGATAGATAGATAGATAGATAGATAGATAGATAGATAGATAGATAGATAGATAGATTGATAGATAGAGCACAAAAAGGATTGTTAAAACATCAGCCTTATTTTATCATAGTCAAATGTTTTTTCATCTTGTTTGTATAGGCACATAGCATTGCTATGCCCCTTTAAGAAATAATTGTATTTCTTTGTCTTTATCCCTATTGTAACTCTGACAAATGTAATCACCTCACTCCTATCTCTGGATAACTATAAGAGTCTTAGCAAAAATATTAGCCCACTGTTCTTGTTATAATGGACCAAAATATTCATCTTTATAAAAAAAAAAAAGATAGAGCTTGGCGGGATCAGTTCTTGTAACTTTTTTAGTAGCTGTTAAACAGAACTTTGTTTGCTGTACTCAAAGTCTGTTGTTGTACTAAAGAGAAAGTCTAAAAAATTAAAACGGTATCAATCTTTAAAGCCAAAACCTAGACAGTTAGCCGCTGCTCTGCCAAGTCCTCCATGTCTACTGAAGCACATTTTTTTTCCTTTGCCAGCTCTACATCTGTTTCCTCTCTGAAACACTTACCTCATGCATCCACAACGGTAATTTCCCAGAACTGCAGTGTATTTGAACCATCAGACAACAGATTGAATCAAGATTTATTATTTACTTTTCCTCTCGCTCCTTCCCAGGAGGCAAAGGAAGCGCTGAGATGCTGGACTGTTTATGTTTACATTTTCAACCTGCCATAGTGGGGGGAGAGTTAAGTGGCTTTGGCTCTGTTAATTGGGCGTTAATCAGGTGTTGCTCTAATTAAAAGGCAGTTCTGCCCTGTTGGGCTTTGGTAATGAGTTTGTTATTAAATCCACAGAGGATTTTTGTCTCTTTTTCAATTTACCAATAGGGTATTGCTTAATTGTTGTGTAAATGAGGGGAATGTCCTTGAAGGTCGTGTTGCATCGGTATGCGATCCATGAAGAAAACTGCTCAACAGAGACCCTCCATTCAGATCTCAGTGACTGTATTCACAAAAAACTTGAGGTGACCACACACTGCTGGTTTGGTTGAGCTCTAATGACCTCAAAGGGAGCATCCACACATTTAATGTAAGCAGATATTTTCTAAGTAGGTAAAGGCGCTTTCAGAATTGATTTTCTCTCCATCTTAAGTTGCCTTTATTTCACTTACTAGGTGCTGTCCAGTTCTTGAAAGCACACCGTGTTTTATAGCTGCTGACTACTCGTAAACAAAACACACCCGCCCTCCTTTTCCATTTTCCAGCATCACAAGTGCTGCCCTTTCACCTTTCTGAAAGAAAAAAAGAGCAAAGGTTGCCAATGCCTTCAGTCAAGGCCAAATCGATATGGAGATGGAAAGAAAGAGATAGAGGGATTTTTCAGGGGAATGCAAGAAGCGAAGGATGAATGGTAGAAGATGTTACACACAGATAGACAGGTGGCTTGAGATACTGAAAGTGTTTGTTTAAGGGGATTTGCTTCAAACAAAAAACTGCTGCTAACATTAAACCGTGGCTGTCTGCATGGTTAGAGGAGCACTACCTGCAACAATCAACTACAGATCTTTTAAAAAGCTCTCTAATTAAGCTGTGCTTCCCTTGTATCATATGTTTTTCTTTTCACCACATCTGCTGTGTTAATTTTTTCTAAGATAAATACATTCATAGGAAACTGGGGCATTCGTAATTTTCCTGAGCTAACAACTGCTTCACCATGGAAGAAAAGGAGAGAGGATACCGAGAATGTGTTGTTTTCTTCTTTACCTTTTGGTGGTGCTGGTGTAACACTCATCACTTTGCCACTCTCAGTGAAAACTGGCTAAAATAGGAAAAGGCTGCTTATATTTGATGAGTAATGAAATGAAATACACATATATTAGTATCTTTAAGGCTATTTTTAGATGCAAGGTGGACAATTAAGATTCTCCAGCATATGTCAGATTGCTTTGAACAGAAAAAACATGCCACCCCCTTCTTAAAAAGTTACATTTTATTTGGCTTGATCTTGAAGCAATATTAATTATGAAATAAAGAGCAAGCTCTTTGCTCTTTTGCAGTTTTATTTCTCTGTGGTTTACATAATTCACGCCAATCATTTGTAACTTTCTCCGGCAGGTTGCTGCTGTTGGGTTCAAAGTGAAGACGCTGAAGAAATACGCAGAGAGACGAGGCAGCAGAGGGGAACCAGACATGAAGATCACAAGTACAGAGAACAAAGAGCGACAGGGGATTTGAGTTGTCACAAAACTGTTTCACGATGTCCCTTCATTCAGCACCGCTAAGTGCAGTGTCACATTTTGATAAACTTTGCGCCTCTTATTTCTTCACTGGCTCCCATCATTGTTAGCTCACTGTAAGATTGTGATAAAGCAAAAAAAAGGCAAGAATTTGACCTCTGCTTCACTATCATTAGTATAAGTGGATGCTCTTTGAAAATGGAAAAGTCCAGAAATTTGATGTCTGCAGTCCTACAATTTCAGAAAAAGCAGACAGAGAAGGGGAGGGGCTGCATGGATATGTAAGAAGAGAACACCCTTTGTCCTTTGGTCATTTTTTCT